CACGGCTGCGAAGAAGACTTAAAACAAACTTTTTTTTTAATGCGTCCTCTATTATTTCATTTACAACAGGCTCGGTCAGGACGGATCTATGACGCTGTTTTAACTGTCGCCAGGGCTATCGAAAAAATTCTTTCGGAGAACAAATCACTCTCGCAGCCTCCTGTTGGCAATGGACTGTGCAGATCTGATAAACCGTGGATAGACGGAGAGATGCTTCTGAACTACATGAAAGGGGTTAGATTTATTCTTCAAATCGAATAAATAATTTTTTGAAAGAGGAAAAACTTGATTTTGAGCACGTGATCTTTGCAGAGCTTTCGTTTGCCAAAATGGAAATTAAAAGTTAGATTAGAATCAAGCAACCTTATTCCAATCCGTCCTTCCGAAAAAAAAAGAAAGATTTTACAATAAATTGAGGTTTTAAAATTTTTTTTTATTAGGTAACCACTTGGTGTTTCGGTGCGCATTCTCAGTGTTCTGTGCATAGTTGTTCTCGCACTCAATTACGCCACGTAACGACTTTTTATCTAAGGGGAGGGGGGATGACGCAGATGACTTGTTCTCTTAGGGAAGGGGGGATGACGCAGTGACTAGTGTGCTCGCCCAAAACGCTGCTGCCCAGGTTCGATTCCCAGAGCTGGCGTCACATGCGGGTTGAATTTGTGGTTGGTTCTTGACTAGTCTTCCTCTTTCTGCAGTAAAAGAAAGGTCGGTGAACATGTCTGAATTTTTGCAAAATTGATCCGTAATATTTCTCTCCTTCCTCATGGAAGGTTTTCCACAACTTTCCAAAGGAGTTTTGATCCCCTTTGTAGGAGACGTTTGTTTCTAGCCTGAGCCAAACTCTATAATCGCACTCGATTTTCGCCTTTGCAATGCGCGTGCATGTCGGTTTATCGTGATCTAACCAATACCGGAGAAGCGATACGGTAGCTCGTTACATTATTAGTCTTTAGAATAATTTTTTTCCTTCTCCTTTAAGGTAAACGCTTCGGGAGTTATGAACAATATTAACTTTCGTAGGACTGGATCACCAGGGAAAACTGCGTACGATGTGGTTAATTTTCAGACTGATGACAAATGGGTTGAGGTAGGGGTTTTTTTTTTTTTTTCGAAAAGAAGGCTATTTCATTATTGTTAATACGTTATCTCTAAACTTAAGGTAACTTTACGAGCTAAAAAAGTTGATTTTTCTTGTAGCTGTATTTCATTCAAGATCAAGATATACTGAGAGTTTTGGAGTTGAAACATAAGAAAGATCGGGGAAAAAAATTACCCTGTTTTGGACTAAGATCCGCTCAATTATTCCACAGAGTTCGTTTTAAAAACGTTAACCAGGACTTTCGAGAAATAGACCTCAGGTTTCTCAAGACTTTTAAAACGCACTACGTGCGTTGTACGGATGATTCAAGTTGTCATGGAATTTTCTTGATACGCTATCTTGATCTCTTGATTCCAAATTGGAAGTAATGTAAAACTAACTTTTACTTTCAACTTCGCCTTTTGAATGTCGAATTTGATTTCGTTTTTCTGAATATGGCAGGTAGGAGACTTTCAATGGAGCCCCAGGCCGCGGTTAAAAATGAACAAAAAAAGACCGATTGTATGGTTAGATGGAAACCTCGATGTACCAAAGCTGGCAAGTCTTGAGCTAAAATACAGCAGAATCAAAGTGCTAATCGCCCTGGTATGTTTAAAAGCATTCAAATCAGCCAAGTTTCCTTTTTGATAGCATTCTATGGCCTTTTTAGTTCGAGTTTGGTTTACAACTCTATTTGCCGTTAATTAGAACTTGAAGCCACTCACGCACATTTTCAGTAATTTAATTTCAGTCAGTTCAGACTCCTCAATATTTCCAAACGTCTTTCTTCTCCCTCGGCGGTTCGAGTTCCTAAAGATTTCTTTGTTTAGTTAGACGATTTTAGGAGGATCACATGATTTCAGAGGATGTAAGTGGGGTATATAGAAGATTGGCCCCCAATGAGAGGAGATCATCAGAATACTACAGAATGTTGGGGGGGGGTTAGAGTTTATTGTGGCACAATCAAAATGCTACAATCAATTCGTGAAAATGTAAACAGATAACTAGATAAAAAAAAATGAATACATGAAAATAAAAAAAAAAATTGGGACGACAAGGAAGACTATACAAAGGACTACTCAGCAATATTAGAAGATCTCATATCTCCCGGAAAACGCGACAGTTAGTTATTGTCCCAAATCCAAGTAATCGTACAAATCGTCACGATATATATTGTTTTGAAAGAGATGATAACGATTACATGGAAACTGGGCTTAACGGAGCTGTAAAACAAACGTTGATGCTATTCAATTTAAATGTGCTCTTCAGAGTCCGCCGTTCGTAATGAAAAAAGAAAATTCCACGAACAGTAATTCAGATGTAGAATACGAGGGATTCTGTATTGACTTATTAGACGAGCTGAAGAAGAAATTACAATTTGAATATCATCTGGAACTGAGAGATAACTTTGGTGACCAGCAGAGTGATGGTACTTGGAGTGGAATTATTGGGGAGCTGACAAGAAAGGTGAAATGTGTAAGAGTGTGTAATCGTTTATAGCGGCGATGCATTTACCGACCTCGGCAAGCTTTCAGGAAACTACTTAAATACAACGCTTTTCTAAATAACTAAAACATTCCATTTTGCCGTGCGTCAGTTTAATATTAGATCATAGATAATGTCGTGGACCACAGTCATAGTGCCGCTCAACACCCGGGAGTGTAAATAGGAACTAGTGCACTGTCAAGGAGTCAGTCCTGAAAGAATGCTAGGGGAGGAGGGGTGGGAGAAATAGCGTGTTATGTACTGCATCCCATCTAGGGGTGAGAGCAAAACATATTCGCTACGTTACACAAACTGGGATAAGTTCCAGCTGGATGGGCCTCTTGGCTGAAGAGTGCAAATTGTACACATCTACGTACCCTATATAAAGCTTCTATGTTGCTTTAATGGTGAAAATTCTGCGATGTCTCTTTACCAACTGACCATTTACTCTCCACAGAAAGCTCAACTGGCTGTGTCCACTATAATCATCAGCCCTGAACGCGAAAAAGCGGTGGACTTTACACAACCTTACTACAGTCTGGGATTCAAGATAGTTATGAAGAAAACAGACATGGAAAACAAGGTGAATACCTGGGGATTTTTAGATCCTTTTGAGAAGACTTTGTGGATTGCCATCATCAGCTCATCAGTGATCATAGGAACTGTGGTTTGGATCTATGACCGACTGAGCCCGTATGGCTACTATGGCAAGGTGGTACAATCAGCGGAAGTCAGCAGCGAGGAAGCGCTTGCGAAGAATACCCTCTCGGTATTTCATTCATTCTGGGCAGCGGTTGCCTCTTATCTAGAGCAGACTCCAGATAACCTGCACCCGATTTCTCAATCTGGTAGAGCGACTACATTAGCTTGGTAAGATAGGGCACGTGTTTACGAAACGAGGGTGTAACCCAAGACAAATTATGTATAAAAGCAACTATTTTATGATACTGGTATTTTATGTTGGACTCTTTGATCATGACATTTAGTTCTATTACACGGGAAAGAATTAAATCTTGACCAATCCTTCCTTGATTTAGATTTAACTTTTGTCACTTTGCTGTATGACAACATTGTGCTCCAACAATAAGCCAATCCTCACAGAATATTTCCCTTGGAAAACAAATCAATGAGCCTCCAGAACGCTTATTGATGGTACATATATTTATTCAATGAGCAAGATAATACAATTACTCTTATTGGTCAAAAACCTATCGTTTATTGCATTGGTAAACCCATAGAAAACTCAAGTTCATTTTTGATAAATAATATGTCGTCTTTTTTATTAGTTTACCGCCTCCGGCTCGTAATTTACAAACTTTTCTCTTGTTCTCCCGATATCCCGCGTGGTTTATTACGCCGGTAAACCGGTAGAAAGTGCGGTCCATTGCTTAAATAATAATCTGCGTTCCCGGTGCTTTTATCAAGTGGTCGTTGAGATAACAAAAATTAATGATCGTCTTCTCAAACCTTTATTGCTTCAGGTGGTTTGCTATTTCCATATTTGGTGCCACTTATACCGCTAACCTGGCTGCGTTCCTGACCATCAACAAATATGAAAATCCAATCACGAACATTGAAGATCTGGCCAATCAGAACAAAGTAAAATTTGGAACCGCGCGTGGTCAGCTGGCTACAATGCTCAAGTATGAACAGCTAGTAATATACCTATTGAGAACGGTGTAGTTCATGTTAAACACTTACAGATGGTGCTGGGCATTTCATTCTTTACAAAATTGAAAGCTATTTTGTTGAACTAATTAAGCCCATTTCTCATATATTCAGTCCCCCCCTCCCCCCTCCCCCACCCTCCCGGTCCATCAGCCGGTGGAATTTTTGTCGATTTGTCTGGCACAAGAACCAGCGAGTACAGTTACAGTGCGTTCATTGCAAGCGCTTGTAAAATTACTCGTGTACACATGAGAGTTTTTGTAGGGAGTCATTGTATATTCAGAAGGTTCTGCTGCTACAAAAGGGGCGCCCTTTCTTATTTCATGTATTTAGTTTCTTTTTAACTTGATGGTTAACAAACAGTCAAATGCTAGTTCAAAATAAAAGAAGAATGATACGAAGTTTGAATTGCCATGCCTTTCCAACTCCTCTAAAAGATTCCAATCATGCTTAAACCCAACTCGTTGCTCGCAAAGCATCATAAAATGAGAAGCTAATCGCCTAGCAACGAGTAGCAAGAACTAAAAAAGTTTTGCGTAGGGGAGACTCTCTCTTTTTCTCAGATGTCAGTGAACTAAATAAACCAACATTGCCTTATTTCCTTTTCCTAGAGAGGCTAAGCTCCCAGTCTACGAGAAACTATGGGATTTCATCGAGCGTCATGGAACACTGGAAAAGAATCATACAGCTGGGATTGAAAAAGTGCGAAACACAGAAAATTATGCCTTCATTTGGGACTCGGCAGTACTTGAATATGACGTGCAACAAGAACCGTGTAACACACTGACTCTTATCGAAAGGTAAATATGGAAATTTCTTAGGTTGAACATGGTTGTGTCATGGCGCTTTCCAATCAGTATGCAAACACAGAGGTCTAATATAGGGCATGCGCAAGTGGATCAATTCTGAGTACTCCCGTTCCCCCCTTCCCACTCCTTCTATTTAATCTAAGAATTGTCTCTATTAAATCTATTTTGATCCATCTTCCACAGACCGTTTGGTAGTATCAACTATGGCTTCGCTCTCCCTCGCAATTCACTTTACACTCATAACTTTAGTGTAGCCATGTTGGAGTTGCAGCAAGATGGCTTCTTACAGCGCATGAAAGAGAAATGGTTTAAAAGCCGCAGCGTGTGCGGTGCAGAGACACAGGCAGCCCAGGAAGCTGCTGAGGAGGGCGGTGACCAGCTTCAGTTTAGTGACTTGGCTGGGGTGTTCATCACCCTTGTAGTGGGCGTGGCTGCTGGGTTGATTGTCCTGTCCATGGAACTGATTTATGCGTCTTACAAAGACACCCAGTCTAAAGATGGCGAGGTGGGTACTGATTGGTTTCAGTTCTCGAATATAATATCACGGTTATAAAAAATCTGCTATATCGTTTACTTTGCGCTCTTAACAGTTCACATTACGTTATAAACTAATAATAAGCCTTTTTCTTCGTTGTTCGCTGCAAGATTATTTTTACGTCTCCCATCAGTTACGTCACACCTTAATGGTGCACCCCCTCCAGCCTTTTTTCGACTCCCTTTGCGTCATTCGTTATTTGAGTTCGATAACCTACATGCAGCGAAGGTTTGTTTGCAATATCGGTGCATGAGATCTGTCTTTCCTCTTCTGATAATTATATCAGGCTCAGATATCATCAAACCCTTTAGGAGTGGAGAGGGGCTTGGCATTCCAGAAGTTCTGTAAAGAACACTTGAGTCATTGTTAATGCAGGAACATAAGTTTAACTTTTTCTTTACACTCATTAGGCACCAAACACACTATGTGCAGCTCTTTGGCGAAGGTTGCATCGAACTTATAAGGGATTCCACGATCTCCACAAACGTGACGAGGGAGAAAAGCAGAAGGAAGAGGACCTGGCTATGTCTGAGGGCCTCCTACTTCCCAGCGCTCTAGAAACGCAAAATATTTGATTATATTCAAACTTGAGCCAGGATGTTTTGACCGAGAGGCTTAGCATGTGTGTGTGGAACTTTACAAGGCTCATGAGGAATTTATGTAACTGTTAGACTTTAGATGAAGGCATGTACTTGTTTAAGATAGCTTAGAGTCGGTTTTCCCTTAGCTTAATGCTCCATTTTTACTTTAATATAGCTAGGCTTCTCATTATATGTTTATCTGCTATGCATAAGACTCATCTGGGATAGGAAAGCTGAAGGAGACTCTCATGTAAAAATGGAGCAGAGATGAAATACAGGCTATCACGGTGATCCTATAATTATTATTAACAGTTTAAGAGAATTAATGATAATTTCCTCAATCATCCTTGAAGTGAGATATTTCAGCTTAAAGTAGTCACAGATAGGTCTTTCTTAGTTATTACTAAGGATTTTGACTACCATTCTTGCCATTTTCATGCGGAAGTCTTTTTTGTCAAGGGACCAAATTTACTCAAGAATGAGTCCCTTGTTAAAACTAATTTGTTGCAGATCATATGTAACATTACAAGTTACCGTGTCCAGTAGGATTGTTATATATTGGAGACTAGACTGTGAATGCTATAGATAGGACACTTAACTGCAAGAAAATTTTAAAAATTTGTCAGCTAAGGAATTTGGTCAAATGTAAACTAAATATTTTCAGCGGCGAATCCAGGAAGTTTTGGTTGAAGGAGGGGGGGGGGAAGGGGCAAACTGGATTTTCGTTTTTAAACTAGAGTATGATTCAAAATAAGTGAAATTTCAGTGCTTCAAGTTTAGATGTAATATTTATTCCTGTCGTTGTTATATTTCTGGTTTCAGACAAGTAATGAAAATACCTACAGGTCTGATTTGTAGGAGGGTCCAGGCCCCTCAGACTCTTTCCTTGGATCTGCTAAACATTAAATATTTAAAAGGTGTAGAATTAATCTAATCCATTTGGTTTGTAGATATGATGTAAGGTGAATTATGGAAAAGGTACCATCAATAAAGATGGCGAATGAAATTATTCATTTGTCAGGCCTTCCGATCATCCATAGTTGTCACTGTTTTGTCACAAGGATTTCTAGGAATAGTACGAGTCACATTCTTTTTTTAGTTTTACTTTTGAAAATTTTGATTACATTATTTCTTCTTTTTATTGCAAGGCAGAACGAGTGCGAAGAGAAAAAAACTTAGATCCTCTGTGTAGTAAAACTTCCTTTGAAGGCAAAATCAGAATTTTTAGTGAACACTTTCGTAAAATTCAGAAAAGTTGTGGAAATGATAAAATCAAAAGACAAGGTCGCGTAATCGCATGAACGTTGATTCATACATCCTCTTATATAAATAAACATCACCGACATTTTTCCAACTCGATGTTTTTCCAACTCGATGTTTAATCTCAAAGTGAAAAGAGTTCTCTCTCTCATTTTCTCATTTTTCTCTCTGATGTCCTTTTCAATTTTCTCTTGTTTCTCTTGTTTCTTTTTGTCTTAATCACATTCTCCTCAGTCTATCTCGCAGATTCTTTATGGTTTGTTCATCTTGCTGCTGTTTTCGTTTAGCTGCATCTATCTGAGCTTGAAGGTCTCTTTGTTGTCGTAAATATCTTTCCTTCTCAGCTGTCGATCTTTCCCTCGCTTCGGATATGGCAGCTTCGGCCTGCTCTTTCTGTGTTCGCATTTGTTCTTCAACCATGCGTTTGATGTTTCTTTGATCTTCGATGTGATTCTCCTCTAGGCGAGTTATCTGAGATACAAAGACTTTGGGTTTGTATTTTGTTATCAATTCAAAACACGACTTACGCTGAAGATACTTAGTATAGGTTACCTTTAACCAGACAGCACCTTGTAAAACGAATGTCGTGAAATAAAAGTGGAAAAGATTAAATTAAGTTTTTGTTTAAGTTTTCACCTCCGAAACACAGAGTGGAAACGAGAACCTTCCTATTTATTACCTTAACTTTATTATGCATTGCAGACTATAAAATAGTCGACGTAGTAAGACTCTACTGCAAATGCCAAATGTACTTTTCAAAATCTCCTCTCAGATAAATGAAGGATAGTTAATTCTGCTAAGATATGGGCGACTGACTCGTACTCGAAATTAAAAAAAATTTTGATTCCTCTCAACTTTGTTACAAACACATCATAAAAAACTTTAATTGAAAAAGTTGATAGAGTTTTATCTAAAGCTCTTACCTTTCCTTCGATTTCTTTTCTGTCCTCTACCAAATGCAAGTTCTCATCCTAAAAAAAAAAAAGATGAAAGTGAAAAAATAAATAAAAGAAAAAAGTTAAGTAACAATGAAATACATGAAAATGTATTTTACTGCTACAGGAAAGTTATCAGCTATATTGAATTAAGATAAAGGAAGTATCCAGAAACCCAAACTCGTTTATATTCAAATCTTGTACTTCGAGCGAAAAAACATTTTTTTGTTGATCATCAGGGTAAAATACAATAATAAAATAGCAGCAGAATTGTTTGTCGAAACTTTACCACTCCAGGTAGCCATATCGAAAGAAAAGCAGCATCATAACCATTATTATAATTGATATCTACACTCAGCGAGCTTCGTGATATCAGCAATCGTACTTGTTTGCTATCATGTGCTAATGAACATTTTTCCTTAGCTTGCGGTTCGGTAAACATTAATCCAATAGTCACCTCCATTTCAAATATTAACAACAACTAATCTAAACAAACTTAGCGAATGACGCATATAAATAACCAATGTTCAAAGTGTATCATTCTTCCTCCTGCCTGAAAGGTATCTAACTTGGTAATCTGGGCTCTCAAATATGAAAAAAACTGACCCTTAGCCTTTCTGTCTCCTCAGCCTCAGCTTCTCTCGCTGCTCTCTCGGAGGAGATATCTTCATAATACTTCCTCCTTGTCCTAAGTCGAGCAAGATGTTTCTTCATCTCTTCAAAATGTTGCTGTCAGTGTAATGAAACACAGATCAATGTCAGTATCTGAGAAACTGCGCACCAACTCCTTCACTAAAACAACATCAACCCTTACTTGTCATCAGTTGACTGTTTTTGGGTTAGGGAAGGGGTAGGTGCAGTTGCTCAGATACAGACACAGATTATGCAACGCCTCCCGCGTTACCTTTTCTCATTCCTAAAACGTTTCATCAACTTCCGTTAAACTAGAAAAAAAAATTTATGTTTCGCGACCGAGAATTATGATTAAAACTGCAAACTGAATATTACTTTAAATGATGGTAAAAAGTAAATGGTTGTAGACCGTGGTATGCCATTTATTTTCTTGTTGTTTTGGGCAATATGTGTATGCAGTAAGCAAACCGAACCTTTCCATAGACCGCGGTAATGATCAGGTGAAGGAGTTAGAGGGGAGAGTATGAAACAGGAAGTTCATTGTAACCTGAACAAAAAAAAAACTATCCATACCAATTCATAGATGTAAGCCAGGTTTGAACATAAGCTCTTGTCTCCTTTGGCCTGTTGCTTGAAGTCACTGTCAAGTTTCTGATAAACAGACCTCAAACGCTCTTCCAAAATCAAGAATTCGTGATCATTGGGATCATGGACATCTTTGAGGACTGGGTCCAACCACACCACGCGTAGCGTTTTCATCAGGTCACTGCACTGTTCCTCAGTCAGATTGTTGTTCTCTCTTAGCAAAGCACTCTCAGCTTCGTCTGTATAGTTCTAGTGATATAGAAATAATACAATTCAGCAGTGGCACATTTACAGAGTGTTTCTTTACCCTTTAACTCCCATGAGTGACCATAAGGGATTATTAGCTGATCCAATACCAAATGCTTCAAACCAACATCACAAGATTTATATGACAGACAGTAAGGAGAATTGTTAATGAGATCTTGGGAGTTAAAGGGTTAATCCACTGGCGGCAAAGGAGATCGGAGTGATTTTTTGCGTGGAAGGAAGAACACGACCCTCAAAGAAAGGAAGGAAACCAATAACAAACTCCTCCTACATATGCCAGCAGAATCAGGAATCGCACACCGGGCTACAGGGGCGAGAGCGGCAATTGCACCATGAGTTCACCATCCTTAATTCCCTCAAAAGGGTAAAAATGAAGAACAAACAATTTGGATGATCTTTAGATAAGATTAATGTTGGAATATAGAGTGAGCAATTAACAAGCGTGAAAAATAATTGACCATACAGAACCACAGAAGTAGCAAGTAGGATGACCCAAGTATTCTTGATTACACTTTCCTCGACTTTGTCTTGTAAGAGAAATCTTATAATGTTTGTTTTACTAAAAGAATAAGAATGATCAAAGCCAATTTCAATCACAATTTGATAAGGGATAGGAGCTGATACGACGTGATGTTTAGTAGCCAGTAGAATCGCGCGAAAATTATAATGAATAGGTTATGATAGCTGGCAGGAATCTGTAGTTTCTCTTTTAACTGTCAATGGAGAATATAGGCGAAAGCTTCTCGTCAGGCAGCACTGCTATAGCCGTTTGTCTATCGATGTTGTTATTATTGTTGTTTTTATTTAAGTTATGAAAATGTGGTATAAGCAAACGTACAGCTATAAACAAGCTAAATATAGTTACTCTTTGTTGGTTAAAGATCAGCTTAATGAATCTAAATATCTACATCGAACTCATTATTTACCGCTAACTCCTCGATGTACATCCACCGGGCCATTACAGCCGTGTCCTCTGCTTCAGTCTCAAAAAAAAAGTTAGAGCTTCCAACAAATAATCTTGATGAGCATTGCGAATCTTTCTGTCGTCACAGGGAAGACACACCTTTTCTTTGAACTCTCGTATCCCTCCACTGAATCAAGAAATTAAAAAATTTGAAATACTGCCGAAAGGAATCGACTATGATCTCAGATCTTATTCCCTGAGCTGTAATCAACGGACACAGCAGAAATAAATTCCTTCGGTGTTTCTGCATATTTCAAGTCAGCAAGTATCTATAGTTTTCGGTTACAGAGCTGCAATTCTTTTGCACTGATCAAGCGATTCTCCGAGTGTAGAAGAAAACCATCTTTTCTGAGATCTGATCACTTGGGATAGCAAATAACAACAACAACAAAAAAAAAACGCCAACGGAAATGAGTTTCTGCGCAAACCCAAATGAAATAGGCTCAAGGTCAACCTTACAACACTTGTGGTGCTGACTAAAAGATCGCCGCTTCGGAAACGGAGTCATTATGGAAGCAGAGTTGCGCGCGTATAGAAATTCCGGTTTATTTAGGCAAGTCTTTTAGTAGTACTTACTCGTACAGAGCTTTAGCATCGTTTAGAGTCTGAGTACATTTTGTTTTGGTAAACACGTTCCATGCACTCTCAACAACTGGAACAGCCCCTGGTGAATTTGCAGCTTGAATATATTCTTCGACCAGAGTTGCCAGAGCTATGAATAAGACACAAGCGGGTAAATGGTTATAAAACAATTCATCTGGCTCAAAATTCAGGCAGTCATCTTGCTCTAATCCTTGAAAATTGACCCTCTATCACAAAAGGGCGTTTGAATTTTGACATCTCCACGACCGCGTTTCATTTAATCCAAACACGTATCTTATTAATGTATAATGCATACATACTTTAATCGTGTATTTTTGAAGGTTTTAGTGGCTACTTCATGGAGGAAGAAGGGAAGCTGTTAAACTAACAGGACGACAAATTAAAGGAAATCAATGTTGAATGAAAATAACAAATTAAAAAAAAGAGAGTTCCTGTCATTTGGTTTACGTGTATGACAAGGATCCCTTCTTCATATTTCCTAGATTCCTTGCACTCCACAAAATATATATATATATTTTTAAAAGAAGTTACTACTACTAGAGCGTTAGACTGTCTCTAAAAATTTTAAAAAATTGCCAACCTTCTCCAGTGACAAATCCTTGTCCAACAAAACTCCGTTTGGGAGTTAGTTTTGAGTGCAACATCTTTTTGAACTCTTCCACTCCTTTCTTGAATGATGAACTAATCTCCCCCTGCCTCCCCTTCTCATTTAAGTTTTGTATGAGTGTAGCATCTGATGACGGAGGGGAGAGGGGAAAGGCGTCAAAGTCAGGAAAGAACTTCAGAATGTTGTCCACGACCTTTTGAGACTTTTCATTAGGCCGACCTCGCATCTTGAAGACCTAAACGACAGAAAACATGAAGAACATGAAAGTTCAGGAACACGCTAACGTCAAATCGAGAACCTTCTTTGAAAACTTGTTGTTAGGATTCTTTCTCTTCCTTTCTTGAAAGAGTACTGTTGTCCAGCAAAACGCACAGTTTTGAAAGTTTTGTGAGAAAAGCTATAACTCCCGTCTGAGCAAGTGAAAGCCTAAAAAATTGATTGTAAGTACCGGTTGAGATGAAAAGCGCTCCACAAGAAGATGAACAGTCCTGTGAACAGTCAAGCGCCTGAACGCAAGTCTAAAATTTAAAGGGGTTTTGAAATTATTTGCAACATCGCCTGCAGCATGCAGCACTCAAAATTCCCTCCCCAGAACAAATTTGGCCATAACTGTTTCTACCAGTTCGGACTAATACAGTTCCGTTCCATTCACCAACGGCAAGTTCTGAACTTTTGTGGTATGGTTACCTTTTCAAGGAAATACGCTTTTAAGTTTTCCACGCCCTTGGGAAGACTTAACACAACATCTCTGAGCAGCCACACAAAAGAAGGAAACACGTGCTGTGAATCTTCTTTGTCTAAAGGTTGTCCTGAGACCACTTGAATCCGCTGAGAAATCTTGATTATGTGACTAGCACTCGTTGAGGCATCTAAACATTTAATTTCCTTTCATTTTATAACTTGCACCATTTTGTGGAAGATGTTCATCACGAATAACCAATGCATATGATCATGAAAGACTACAAGAGAAAGCTAAATGTAACTTTTAGAGATTGCACATGCTTTAATTGAACGTAGGCATCGAGTGATAGATATAATTGAAAGATAGATAGACACATACAAGAGATAACAAGAGCACACTCAGCTGCAGATTAATACGTAGTAGAGTCGAAAAGGATACTCAAGTCCCTCAAGATCAGTTCTTGTGGGAACGCCAACAGAATTGTAAATTAATACAGAGCTCAAGAGAACGCTGAGTGTAAATATGGCGTGATCATTAATACCCTCTGCACTCACTGCATCAATTCCTTCGGAATCCAACAGCACAACGGTGAACTCTCTGCCTTGAGCATCCGTGTATTTCTCTGGTACTACCCACAGCCAAATTCCCATGGTCTCCGGATCAAACGAATGCCCCAGTGGGAACACGTCCCTTGATCGAACGCTCTGCTGAGGATGTACGATTTTCCCCTCCTGCATGGCCCGGCTATCGACACGACGCACACTGGTCCGCCAATAGACCGAAGTTTCCGCAGTGCCGGGTTTACAGGCTGAAGTCCCGTGCGGGGCTGACTCGAGTCGCGCTGGAACGCTCCCGATGTTTCATCCCAGCTGCAGTTGTTTGGTATGCACAATGGAATGGCCGCCATGGTATTCCCGGAGCCCTGTCTCTGATTAGAATCCCTACACAATTTCACGTGTAAACCACGGATTAGGACTTTTCCTTGTTTACGTAATCTCATCTAAACTTTAGGGGTCGAGAGCTTTCGAGACAGCTACACAAACCCTCGAATCCGTCCCACGTTTGCATAATTTTTGAGGAAAGCTCTCTATTGCTCTAAAAAAATATTTTACTGACTGACGCTCACATCTAAAACGTTACAGCCGTTTTTAAACACTCACATCTGATCACATCTATCGACCAATTAGGCCGCGTCCACAAACCTAAATATTTCATATCAAAACAGAAATCAGGTTGAATCGATAGCAATGTAAACAACAGCTTAACTAGCTAACCCCCAAGAATTAATAATCTCTTGCTAACCCCTAAGCCCCACCCCACCACCCCTCTACCAAAAGTCACCACAATTATGAAATGGATAAATGTATTTTGGCAGCCGTTACCGCCGAAAATACATGCAAATAATAAACAATAAGGACAAAAATACTGACGGACAACTCACCTTAACTGAAATAAAATAGTGAAAAAGAACCAAATGCTTAAACATTTGAAAGCTTGTATGGTGACACCGGTTGAAATGGTTCAATAACAAGCCCGACGAATGATCAATTCCTGCTTGAAACTGTTCTGCCAATTCATGTGTGCAAAATGCGGCCCCCAAAAATAACCAATATATGATTTGATAATGATTTTTCCTTCAAGTACATCGTAGCTAACGTGAATGAACCAATTGCAGATTCCCTTTTGGTTGAATGTATTTCACGCAGGAGCCCCTTACTTAGTAATGGCTCCTGATTTCATGCAGGATTCGCCTGAAAATTTTTTGTGTATTTCAACGAATTTTTCTACGCCGACTTTTTATATGCATTCATGGTCACAGAGAGTTGGAATTTGCATCTCGTGCGTGTATAATTACATAGATTGGGTGACAAAAAGGAAGTAATTTGTCACACGCGCCAACATTCAAAAGAGAAAGTGTTTTTGTTCAGTTCCTAACTTCCGCTTCACTTCCGGCTTTAATGGAAATTCGTGAACCTTGCATCATTTAAAACAATGAAAGTTTAGCAAACAACAGCAGTAGAACTTCTGATTTAAATGTCATGGATTTAAACCGACTCTTCAAGGCTAAAGCAACGAATTAAAATAACAACTTTCCATGGCCAAGATGCTTCGCTCTCGCTCATCGAAAAGCTAAAGCTGGGTGTTATTCTGTCAGTTCGACATGGCAATCGAATTGCAAGCGACTGATAATCGATTTTGATAATGTTTGGACGCTTTCTTACTAGTTTAGTACTTCAAGTGACTTTGTGAAGCATGGACTTGAAAGCCAGAACTGAAAATATATGGTAGGAAACAGAAACACTTCATAACCATTACTCAATTCATAAATTATCGCACCCAGACAGAGGATATTTTCGTTCAAACAGCGCCGTATGTCGGATATGACCTCAAAACGACCTTCATCACAATATATTATCCACTAACCTTCTTTTAAAGCTGGATTTTTCCGTATTAAACTCTGGAAACTGAAACTTTTTTTTTTTAAAAGCCTTCTGATAAACTCCTTCTTCCAACGTAGTCACCGTCCATAATGTAACCGCGAGAAGATTGGGGAGGATAGTATTTCTATTGCGTAACTCTTCTGCATGATGATGTTAATTTGCTGTTACTTTGACCCAAAATCCTTGAGTCTCTCTTTCTTTATTTTCACGTGGTATTCTTTTGGTATCAGAGTTTCGCAAGTACCTTAAAATTTGAATTCAACAGGCCGCACTTTGAAGGCGAGGAGATGAACTTCAGCATTCCGACGTAAACATGCAGAAGCCTGTTGTCAAGCAATGTAATCAAGAATTCAAGAATTCATCTTAAGTAGTAAAAAAAAAAAAAAAAAAAAAGAGAGAGAGAGGGGGAGATATGATTTTAAATCTTTGGACCAGAGGCTGATATTCCGCTCCGGAGAGTTTTTCGCTTCGGAAGAGGTATTTGTTTCAGCAAAATTGTTTTCGGTTAATTGAAGAACCCTTTCGGGAAGCCTCTATGGAGGTATCAGACTTTGAAAATTCACCAAGCAAGGAGAATATCTGTAGATTAAATAAACTTAGCAAACATTATTTTAAAACTTTGATCTCCAAAGAAAATACCTGCACGAGGTTATACATACAAGTTACTTACACTTCACCGGGGTAGACTATTATCCTGCACTGATCATGATGTGATGTGACATGTTTACAATTATATCATTATTGACAGTCAGGGTCAATAGCGTTTTGAATGGATTCTGCACAGCCTGTACCATATCAGATGTCAGTCAGCATATCATAGAAACGACAATAAATATTATTTCTATGAAATACATGCCCCAATATCAACGTTTCTAGGTAACAAATTCTCTGTAAAAAAATTAGCAACGCTGAAAATATTATTTTTCGCTTCAAAAGGGATTACTATTACTATTACTATTTTGGCGATGTTTCCTTAAACAAAACAAAAATGTGGTTTATTGTGAAAGGTCGTTTCTCCCTTTGATATTTTTCGCATTATCATTAGACATTTCTCATTGAAATATCTATAATTTATGCACAAAGGAGAAGAAAGCGAAGAGATAAAAACAATTGAGAAGATATGTATCATTAAGATTTGTCGCGGAAGAGCACATTTGGAAAAGCTGCTGTCTGGTGACCCATAGTTATTTGTATTCCTGAACAAGGGTTTAACATAAAACAGTTTTCTTCACGAGTTGGCTCACCGCGAAGCCCTTTGATCATCAGTGTTATTCAGTCAGAGGAATAGACTGAGTGGAGGAAACAAATAAAGAATGTGTTTCAGCTATGACAAAATAGGTTTATAGGGATGCATCAAGAAAGGTCAGTGTTAGGCTGTACACCTTTGTTGCATCGTATTTCATTTTTCGGTCGCGCAATGCGTCCTGGCTGTCAAGTCACAAGTGTGGTACTTAAAAAAAAAAACTAAAACTCTACAAACTTGAGTTCTTTCTGTGTGCCTTGAAGAAAAATTTCCAAAATATCGAAAGAAAATTTACTTTTACCAGGAAACGTACAGACAGCGAAGAGCGGAATGAAATACCCATTAATGTCACGAAGTGTCACTGTCTGATTCCAAAGAGTAGCTTAGCCATAAGGGCTCATTCCGAGACCTGATTAATTATTAATACAATTCCTAGAAACATTTGCATGTCTTTTACCTAGTGTGTTGGAGTTGCTGAAAAATCAGCCATCATGTTTATGCTAGCGATAGCTACATGTACACAGTCTTCATCAGACACGTTTGTAGCGGAGGTTTCAAGGTAAGATTAGTTTGTGGTAACTATGGCGTAAATTTTGTTCACAGACGCGATCGTTTTTCTTAGCCGACGCCAGATCAAAAGATTTGTGGTAACACGCATGATCAGTCTCTTACTGTTCTGTTGTAAAGCACGCACGAAGAGGATAGAGCACGAAAGAAGTTTAAGAAGAAACACAATCCTTTTTTCTGCCCACTTCTTGAGTCGAATTTGGCCGAAGCGGAAAAATCTTCAGACGCATCGCCAACAAAATTTGTCTCGGGTAAAAATTATGCAAAATCGTCTTAATAAACAAAACCGTCAGAAACCGTTGTCAATCTAGAAAGGCAAAAATTGTCTTTTGTTAAAAAACTCAGGGATCGATTGTAGAATTTTAAAAAAATTGGAAGTGGAATCCTTTGGCAACTATGTTGGCCGATCTTATGAACAGATCAGACGGACGCTGACGGAATTTGTTGACTCTGAAAATTTTAATGCGGATGCAAGAGGCGTAACAAAAATTTGTCGTGGCAAAACTTTTCTTTGAGTTTGCCGGGAAAATTCTTGTTTTCGCCAAATTGTAAGAGTTTTCATGTGACGAAAACAAACTGTTCAAGGCGTGTGTTTTAAGAATAAACGACAGCCGAATTCACGAGAACATGAAGGCTGCTAGGATGACAGCGCCGTAAAACTAGCCTGCTGTGACTGATGTTGCCTTCCACTCAACGCATCGGAAAGGTTATAAAAGCAAGCTCTTTGTCCACTCGAAGAGCGGTCGATGTAATTTCTGAGGCTTTCTTCAGTACGATGACCGGAGATCGCGATGATGAGCTAGCTGCAATGGACCAGTCGGCATGATCGCAGTCGCTCTGACACCTTCATGATTAGTATGAATTTCAACAGTTATGCCAGTTTGGCTATATTTTTCATATCATTCTTGTTTTGTTCTGCATTTTTTTTTGAACATGAAACTATATATGCTATACGAGTGTTAGCTGAGTTTGATTTTTATTACCGTACGTAAGCTTGCAATTTAACTGAGCGTGAAAACCTTCAATACTCGGTCTCCACTGCGTTTTCTCTCTGGATTTTCGTCTCTGCTCATGTTATAATAACGTAAATTACGACGCTTGGCATGTTTACAAACTCTTGTTGGGTTCTTTTGTTGCTACTTGCTGGCTTGCTTGTTCCGAAATTTTTCTTTCAACTAAGGAAAAAAAACTAGAGAAAAGTCCCGGAAAAAGTCGAACATAGTACAATTTGGCATACGGCGTGACAGCTTTAGCTCAGTTTATGCTTTGTGCTCTGATAGAGCACATTCTTTCAACCAATGACAGCGCGCATCATATCCAAACTTTGTTATAATAAAATTTAACATGTACGTATTACAAGCGCACAATTCTTTTCGTAAATGTTTGTTTTCATCCAAACACTCGAGTTCCACTCGATTCGATCGATAGCTGGGAGATGTTTGGACTTAGAGATAAACTGGGACTTATTGTCATACTCTTCTGCTCGTTCCCTTGATTTTGAAATTGTTTCTTTGGATTTTCGTCAGTCAACTCTACTGTGAATAACTTAAGCCGCAGGTTTCGATTGTTTTAGCTAAGATATTAAAGTTTGGATCACGTTTATTTGTCGATTGATTATTCGTTAGGTCTGGTGATAACTTATCTGATTTACTCAGTTACGTGCAAGGTTCGTGATCCAAGGACACTATGAGTCCAATCCCAAGTGTTCTTTATCTTTTTGCATCGTACGCACTATCGTTATTTTCGTTCGCACGGCCTCTAGTCACCATTTAGAAAAAAATTATACTTAATGACCAACCACTGTGTGCGGAGACTCAAATCGAATCGCCCTCTGGGGAACTTAAAATGTCTTAAACTAGGACTGAGGTGGTTTTATCTTTTCAAAGCTGATCCACAATTTTTTTTACAACCAAGCTATGTTAAAGCAGAGGGAAGTCATTAAGTTCCTCTATTCCCTTACCAAAACTACATGTCTGTTACATATGTGTGACACTTATGTGTCTGTTATATATTTATGTGTATATATGATAAATATTGCATTTATGTGACATACATGTAAAGATTCTGACGTGATTGCACATACATGTGACATTTATGGGACGTGTGACATACAGTATATGTTGGATATGTAATTATGTGACTTATATGAAGTTTTGGAAGGGTTCACAGCCAGCTGGTTGCAATTTCACATTCTGCTCACATGATGTGTATTTTTAGTTTTCTATGTAATGCAAGGTGCATATGCATATGATTTATGGCCATTATCTTCAAAAATTTCCTTCCAGAAGTAAATAAATGCTACTTATATACCGAAATAAATTAATTTCTGCAGTTGTCTTAAACCTTGATTCAATGGGCAGTATAATATTCTGGAGGCTAATTATTGTGTCCCGGCAAAGAGATTGTAAATTCAATTGTCATTCGTTAATATTGCATAAACATCCTCACTGTGTATAACTTCACATGAGCCTGGGTTTATGCTTCGTAAAAATGGTGCCTTTTTCTCAATCGGAGCTCACCAGAAAAGTAAATTGTCATTTTCTTGCAAATGAGCTTAAAGACCTCCTGTGTACCATTATTTCTCTTTCTTGGAATTGGGAAATTATTTTCTTTCTGTCAAACAATTATAAACCAATTCTTCGTAAGGGGAAAGGAACATTTCAGAAATACCAATTTAAAAAATATATGATATATATATATCTAGAAGGTATTGCTGCTCATAAAAGAGCATGGTACCTCCCTTTTTTATTTCAAATTGTACTTTTCCTTAAGATCAGCAACCAACATGTACAGCTCGACGACAATCTTAGTGTATGTTCTATGGAATGGCTTCAAGTGTTCAAAGTATCTTATCAATTGCTTTGTATTGTTTATTTTATAGAAGCTGATTGGCATCGTTACAAGTTAGAATGGAAGCAAGCACTCGCAGGAACACTCATGGTGATCCACCAAAGATCAGTGTTAATCTTCCAAAGTTAAGTGAGCTTACCCAGTCGAAAAAACCTTGGAGGGAGGTTCAACTCCCAATTGACATTCTGTTGTTAACAGTGAAAGACGTTGAGTTTTTAAGTTGCTACTATTACATTAATGATCTAATCAAAAGCTATCTGAAAGGGCTTGGTTTAGTATACTTTGGCAGCATTGGTGAAGATAAAGATGTCAAACTGAAAGTTGCTTTGATGAAATGCTCAGAGGGTTCTAACGTTCCTGGTGGTGCTTTGATCGTTGTAAAAAATGCTGTCACTCAGCTGAGGCCAAAAGCTGTCTTTTCTGTAGGCCACTGTAGTGGTATGAATCAGGAATCGACAAAGCTGGGGGATGTGGTTGTATCAAAAAAGCTCACAACTTATTCCTATCAGAAGGTTGCAAAGGATGGCAAGAAATTTCGTGGGTTCATAACTCCTGTAAGCAGAGACATCGCTGAACTCATCGAATGTGCAGGTCATGGTTGGAATCCACCCTTAGAAAATCCTAAAGAAAGGAAGGTTGAAGTCCACTGTGGTGAGGTTTTGAGTGGTTCAGAGCTCGTACAAGCTGAGTGGCGACGAGATGAACTAGTGAAGTCATTTCCTGAAGCAATTGCAATTGAGACAGAAGGAGAGGTAAGGTCTCCTTTTTCCTTTTAAGTAACTGTTACTTTAAAATCTGCTCAAAGAGATATTCGGGTATATTTGAATCTAGGGAGAGAGAATTGATACCTATATGATATCAGTTGTGGTGGGTAAGCTTTTCTGCCAGTGTCGAGAGATGCACTGGCTGTGTGTGAACATACTGGACTTCAGATCAAGAGGTCTGGGTTTAAGCCCTGGGCTAATGGGATTGTGTTGTAGTCTTGGCTGAGAGGCTTTACTCTCACAGTGTGTCTCTACACCCACGAGTATAGATGGCTACTGATGAACTGTCCACTATTTCATATACATGTAGAGGGAGTAAGGGTATAGTCTTAGTGTCTGAATGGTATAAGCCCTGGGAGAAGCTCGTGCTACAGGGACTAGCTCGGTACTTAGTATACATAACTTTCCAAAATATATCTCTAGTTCCTTACAAATTTTTGATAACAATGGTAACATGATAACAATGGTTGAAATCAGTAGATGTTGGAGAAAATTTGTTGTTTTATTCTTAAAAGCTTGTTTTTTTTGTCTCAGGAGTTTTCAGCGCAGCACGTGATCTGTAAATGGAATGGGTCGTTATCAGGGGTATTTCAGGGTATGCAGATGGAACTGAAGCAAACGAAAACTGGCAAACATTTGCAAGTGTAACAGCAGCTTCTTTTGTTGTCAGCATTCTAAACCAATGCAATGATTTTGAAGATTGGCCACATTACCAAGGTGAACAGATCAACTTTTATCTTTCATAGGCCTACAGTATATTTGCTTGCAGTCACTAGCTAGTCATGTATGCTTTTTAGTTTTGTTTTCAATAAATGTGCTGGAACCGAATTGCCAAAACTAAATCAAAAACATGGTCAATGACCTATGATCATGCGCTGATCAATGACAGCAGCTCTTGGATCAGAAATGTTACCTGGTTGTTGACGTCAATTCAACATACAGGAGCTCTATAAAAATGGGTGGATCCAGCAAAATGGCATGAATAGATGCGATACGCACCACTCGCTATCCCCTCATCTTGATGTTTTGCTGTGATGTCTTTATGTTTTTAGTCAAGGAAGAAGTTTTCAGTGACGAAGATTTAGAGTGGCCTTACCTAAGTTGCTTATTGTATGGAAAATATTTTTTTCAAGCTTTTCGCTCGATTGCAAAGTAGAGATATAACTAGTGGGACATCAAATCCGTTTACCTGGCGATGACAATTTTTCTGCCTGGCAGAAGAAAAGGAACAAGAAATCTTCTGTTCGCATATGTGGACGTGCAGACGCATAATGCAATGGCACGAATTGTCCTTGAAACAAACTCCTCAGGAGACGTTTCATTAGGAAAGGAAAAAGCTCCATTGCTACAATGAATCTGTTGGCTCAAAAGATCTGGTCTAATGATTTGTTTATATTTGTTATCATGCAGATGGTCGAAATAAAGAATCGTCTCCGCGTGACGCTTTAACTCCAAAGAAAGGAAAAACTTGTTTAACAGGTAAAATAAGGACATATCTATAAGCGTGCCCGTTAACCCCCACCTCCCAACCCCATCTTCCCGCCCCTGCCTTTGTAAAATAAAAGTGAGGGATCCAGCAAAAGGGAAAAAATAGTTGCCATACGTACTACTCGCTATCTCCTCATCTTAATGCTTTTCTGTGATGTCTTTATGCTTTTAGTCAAGCAAGGAGTTCCCAGTGACAAAGATTTAGAGTGGCTTTCGCACCAACTCGAAAATTGGGAGGAACTCGGGCGTCGTCTCGAAGTTGAGGAAGCAACTTTAACGGCGTTTGACGATGACTATAAGAAAAAGCGTAAAAAAATCTACAAAATGTTACTACATTGGAAACAGAAGGATGGCTCAGCTGCAACATACAAGGTCTTACATGATGCATTGTGTCATGAATTTGTTAAGCGCACAGATTTAGCTGAGAAACTTTGCTGTCAACAGCATGAATGACTATTTACTTTATTGACTCACAGATAGCTTTTATTTCTATTTTTACTGATTATTCCACTGTCAAATGAACAAGTATACCCAGTATGGCTACACTATTACCATGTGAAGTGCTAAATCAGTTATCTTCCTTTTCCTCATGGGATCGTTTTTCTGTCTCTTACACACATGCATCTTTCTATTCTTTCAATGAAAGACGTCAAGTGTTAAAGGATATTGCCAGTTATGACCCAACTATAACTTTTCGTGCAATTCTTTTGACTACTCAACGTCACGTTGTACAAAAATCACTGGATAGTTTTGACGCAATAACTACCATTTACGTCGATATTTGTCCCCGATTATTTCCGTCGAAAAGAAACCAAGACAGCGGAAAAAAAGCCAACACTCGAGTTTCACTTTTTTATCTTTCTTATTGAACCTGTGAGAAGAACGAAGTTATTAGTTTATGTACTAAACATTCGCTGAGTTGCTCTGTCAATACCATTGCAGTGTTGTCGAAGGCATACGTCATGTTACGCATTTGCATCACCTCTGATATCTATACCTAATGCACATGCATTCCTCCTTCAATTGTTGGTTTTGACGTAGTACTGAATTAGAAATTTGAGGCGCTTTTTTCATAGAGGTTTGATGAAACCAAAATTCAGCGTGTTGAGAATCTTACGACGAGAACACGAATATATGCCATGTTCGGTAGTTGATATTGAGATTCTCCAATTTCTGTGAGTTATGTGTGTGCATTAGATAGTATATCGATCAAGAAACTGAGAGGAATGTCGAGTTGCGTCAGTTTTTCTCAAAGAATTGTAAGTTCACGAGGAAAAGACTCCGTAAATAGCTAGGCAACGAAAAAACGTGGTTCCCTGACACTCGATTAGGCTTGGACAAAAGGCAAAGTTCTTGAAACAGTCAGCTTGCCTGATAATGATATACATTTGATATTGGAAGTTCATCTTTGATTAATTGCCTACGATAATTTACGGTGTAGAATGTTTGTCAACGAAACGTTTCCGTAAAAATAAATGAGAGGTTTGACATAACTAACGGCCTATAGAATGATTCTATGGCAAGGAAAAAAATGTTTGGTAAAAACAAATGGTAGAGGATTGTAATTTCATCAGGGCTTCCATACTGCTTTTAGCTGGAAGAAAACAAAAGTCGATTTGCCATTATTTCTTTTGTGTGTGTGTCTTTTGTTCTTTAGAAAAGTCTTTGAGCATCCTTGGTTCTGGATTGAGAAGTTTGGTTGGAGCTCAATCGTTGGCAATTATGCTGATTTTCCGGGATAGTTTTCTGGGGAAAAATTTCTTTCTACCAAGCTTTGAGCAGTAAAATCTTTATAAAGCGAACTACTGGATTGATAGTTGTTGTCTGTTCATAACAAAAAACTTGTATGGCGATTTTGCACTTCGAGTTTTATTTTTTGGCATAAAATTTTGACCGACTGCTAAATAACAAAAGTTTTTCAGAGCTTTGCGAAGCTTCGCAATATCTTTGGTGGTTTAAAGTATTGAATATCACTTTTTTCAATCGAATGTTGCAGACCTGACGCATTTATGAAGCTATACAGGAAACCAATTCTCTGTTATGAGGTCACGGTTCTATAATGATATTGCCAAGGTGATAAAAAAAGTGAAAATCTTGGGAAAATAATTAGTCTCGATAAATCTACAGTATTTTTTCATTGAAAACTGAAATACTCTCAAAGATGAAGTTTACACGTTGGCACATGGCTGTTAGCGTTGTATGCGGGTGAGTATCCCTAAGTATCATCACTCTTTAACATCAGGAGTTCCCAAACTTGAGACCTTCGCTTCCCATTCTTCTTCAATAGCATGGAAATTTACCAGAAGAACTTTTAATGAAACTTAATTGTATAATATGGAACTTGACAGAAAAGTCAGAGTAAATGAAAGAAAGCGAATGCAAGGCCATCGTAAAATTTTGAGATTTATTTTGCCTAAAGACTTTTCCAATACACCTATGTCTACTGTGTTCTGCAGCCTAAACTTTAAATATAACAAACCGATATTACTTAGAAATAGGCACCGTTATTTCAGTAACTGCATGCATATTAAGTTCCACAGTCGGAAACATCAAATGAGGTAGGGGAGGCGTCGCTAAGGAACTGAATTTTTTCAATTTTATTTTCGTCAATTGTTAGTCATCAGGAATACATACTTTGCAGAAAATAACGAAGGAAAAATTAGTAAGAGAATACAATCCTTGGAAATATATATATATTTTTTTTACAATCCTTGGAAATTTTTTTTTGTTTGTTTGTTTTTTTTTTTGGTCAGCGGCGCCGAAAATGGCGGCCACGAGTTTCGGAGCTCTGATTTTAGTGTTTTATTTCTTACTTATTTGTTCTGAAATTCTTTCTACTTGGGATCCAATCGATTGCCACCATCATGGGCCTTGCCAAGAAGCTCTCAAGGTTTTTCCTGGCGCATATTTTAGTCATTACGGCCGATTTGCTTTCACTGGACGACCTTCAATTGTTTTTGTCACGAAGCGCTTTGGATTTCATCGCGCCAAGATTCCCTCGGTATCTTGGACAAAGCACGGATGTACATCTCTGCTAATTCCTGGTCACGACCCGCCTCTAAACATCACAATTTTTGGAGAAATTGCGATTAATCCTGGTCCAGAGACTTTAATTCAAAACAATTTGAAGAGGCGAAATGAAAATCTACCGAATATCTTGGATTTGATAATATAAATACTCGAGTTATAACATACACCCGTGCTGAACTACTTGGCATTCGTCGCGCGTCTCGCAGTTTTGTTTGTGGATCAGTTCTCCATGTTTTAAAGCTAAATGGACTTCTGAGGTTTAGAGGATGTCGAGCTGGCCGACGGAAGATATCTGTACGTATTTCTGATCGAATAAGTCATACTACTTGCCGTGATAGAACCACTTCTCGCACTTCTGTTTTGGTTCCTATAGTTCCTGAACAACGTTTTCGTAGTGGAAGCTATTTAAAATTCTGTAGTTTGAATGCCAGGTCTGTGAGAAACAAATCGGTGGACTTGGTTTCCTATGTTGAATCATCTGGAGCTGATATTTTCGCAGTAACTGAGACATGGCTCTCAGAAATTGATGATGCGTGCAGAGCCGAAATTACCCCACCCGGGTACAAGCTGTTTGATCACACACGATCTGATCAATGTGGTGGTGGAACTGCTCTATTGATAAGAGAAAATCTACATGCAAGTCGTGTAGATGCTGGTGAGCGTACTTCTTTTGAGTTTTCTCATTGGATGGTCGATTTCCAGTCGCGAAAACTTCAGATTGTTATTATTTACCGTCCACCCTACTCTAGTAACCATCCTGTCACGACGAATGCATTTTTTGCTGATTTTTCGAGATTTTTGGAGAATATCATAATGTCATCTGTACCGTTACTGATAGCAGGTGATTTTAATATCCATGTAGACGTTCCGGGGAATGCAGACAGTGTTTGTTTAAAGGAGCTGCTTGAGTCAATGGGCCTTCAACAACATGTTAACGTGCCAACACACGAGTCAGGACACACCCTGGATTTTATCATTACTCGACAATGCGACTCCTTATTAGCTAACATCCCTGTGACTGACTGTCTGTTTTCTGATCACTCTA